CTTGGAAAAGATACTGGAGTGGTTTGCCATTTTCTTCTGCAGCTCATTTTTCAGGTGAGGAAACTGGATACAAATATGAAAAAGAAAGACAGTTCCTACCCTCAAGGAGCTTAAAATCTAATTGTGGAAGGCAACACACAAAAGAAAGCTGAAAATTAAGGGGGTCATGGTAGAAAAGTTAAAGAAATCCGAAACAAGTGCAACTGGGTAGGAAATAGGTTTGTTGCTGCTTTCTCCATAGCCATGGTGCCTATATTGGTGTACACCCAAAAAGTCTTCAGAGATGTGCTCCATGGTATTGTAGGATCATAGACTTACAGCTGGAAGGTAACTCAGAGGTCATCTAGTCATTTTACTAAAGAGGAAACTGAGGCTCTGAGAGATTCAAAGTCACACAGGTATTAAGTGATAATGCTAGAATTCATATATAGGTCCTCTCATCCCAAATCTAGCCAATGCTCTTTCCAGTGACCCTGTGTGAGAGTCTGACATCTGACAACCAAAGTTAGCCATACCTCACCTTTACTAAGACTGTTTGCCTGCAGAATGTGTATTCCTACAAGTGTTACTGGATAAAAGTGGAAACAAGGACATTTATGGGTACGTTGTGTTATTTCTCTTTTAAGCGGAGGAGAGTATTTCAGTATAGTGCAGAGCTTGAAGGTAGGTGAGACAGATCATCCTCTTCATCTTGAAGAACAGGGCTTGTAAATTACCCAAGTGCTATAAACTAGACTTTTGCCCTTAAATATTATGTAAATCAAAATTTGTTCTCTGGATTGTATATTTCAGGGGTATCCTTAGTTGAATTTCACTTCACTCAATTTAATTTTCTTAAATTAAACTCAGCTGAACATACACACACACACACACACACACACACACACACACACACACACACACACACACAGAGTATGGTATGTCCTAAGTATTGTGCTAAGTGCTAGAGACTCAAAGTTGAAGAATGACATCATCCCCTTCACTTCTAGGAATTTAGGATCTAACAATGAAATGAGTCAAATCTATAGCTCTCATTACTCAATTAAAGACAGTGGCAGGAGGTTAATGGAGATACCAAATGAGATATTACTCTCTAGTAATATGTATGATGTCATTGTTGACAAAAACAATTCAGTATTTGAAAAAAAACCCATATTTTTTAGGGTGGGTGGGAGATCCCTCTTGATTATAGGATGTCATAGTGAAAGAATAGATTCAAGTCTATGATCTTACATTCACCAGTTACAGAGTGGTGGGACATAGCAATGGTGGGGGTGTTGGCAGACACATTCCTGTGGAGATGAGTCAGCAGTACAGCCTCTAGTGGGATAATACCATTTTTAGTCTGGGTCTCTTCCTTAATTTGGAGGGTCTAGGAGGAGCCAACCAATCAGAAATTGAGGCCTCAAGGGCAGGGTGTACCTGAGAAGTAGTGAAGGGGTGGAGCGAGCTTCTAGGGTAAAGAGGTTTCTGTGACTGTGAAGAAAGTCCTGTGGAGATGAGTCAGCAGTGCAGCCTAGTGAGGGATTTTATGAGTCTATAATACTCTAAATACAACAGTTTTGTTTTGTTTCTTGGTATGGGCCTATGATCCTGTTGGTATAACATACTTCCAGTGTAGGGACTTCCTTCATTGATACAGATAAGCAACTCATTTGTAACTTACAGTCTTAACCATGGTCCATGAAGTTGTATGTTTTTTTAATTTCATTTATGGTCACTTTTTGTTACATTCCAAGTTCTGAACTGTGTCCCTCCCTCCCTCCCCACCCCAAACTACAGGAGACTGCCATTTGGCATAGATAAATAGATAAATAAATAAATCTATCTATGTAAAATCATACTATGCATACTTCTATTTATCATTTCTCTCTCTGGAGGTGGATAGCATCTTCCTTCATAGGTCCTTTGTAGTTGATTTGAATATTTATAATACTCAGAATAGCTTTGTCATTCAGTTATCCTTTGAAAAATATTACTGTTACTGTATACAATGTTCTCTTGGTTCTGCAATGTTCTCTTGGTTCTTTTGCTTCTTAATATTTTGATAACTGTATTTCAATAGACGTGGTTTCCTTTGTAATCCTATGTATTTTATTATATGCACTTAAAAACTTTATTCTGAAAAGGGGTCCACAGGCTTCACCAGATCGATAAAAAGTGGTCCAAGACACAAAAAAGGTTAAGAAGCCTGATTTTAGAGAACTGTTTGGGGGTACTTGTCCATGGTCACACAGGTAGAAAGTGGAAGAGCTTATTCAATGAATTAATTTTCTTTTCTTCTCGGTCCTGAATTCCCTTACTCTTCCCTCTTCCCTGCTCCCGCCCCTACTCATTGAGAAGGCAAGAAAAACAAAACCCCTTACAAATATGTAGAGTTAAATAAATTTCCCAAGGAGCCACATCCAAAAATATTAAGAAAAAGAAGAAAATATGCTTCAATATGAACTCTGAGTTCATCAGCTCTTTATCTGGAGGTGGACAGCAAACCATGCTCTTTGTAATATCGTGCTGCCTGTCACGAACAGTATAATACACAGAAAAAAAAATAGGTAAAAAAGACGTAGTCTTGGTTTTTTTTTTATGAGCTTCTCTTCTGTTTGGATGAGCTTTTATAAGCTTGGTTAGATTTTATGCATGAAATCGTGGAAGCATGCTGATTAGGTCTATTATAAATTTATGCTACATTATCTCAACTGGGTCCTCACTGTAGCCAGGCAATCCTGTTAGGCCTCCCTAATCAATTTGCTCTTTTACTCACCAAACTTTTTTATAATGTCCCACAAAAACCTTCCAGTCATCTTTTCAGCTGAAGACCTTACTTCCTTGAAAAAATTAAGGCTATTTGCTAAGAGCTCTATTTTCTTCCTCTTCCTTATTCTTTTATCATTAATACATCTTTCCCCACTATCTTCTCCTTTATTCAAATTTTACAGGAAGAGGTGGCCTTTCTCCTTGCCTAGGTAAACCCCTCTATACTAGCACCCTTCATCCCATTCTCCTTTGCCTTCTCCAGCAGTTTATCTCTACTATCTTCTCCCAACTCTCTCTAATAATCGATCTCCCCCCATCTACTGGCTTATTTCCAGATGACTATAAATATCTGTAGGTCTTTCCCATTCTTAAAAGGTCCTTCTTTGATCTTTCCATCCTTACTTGCTACTGAGTTACACTTGTCGTCTTCTTCGCTAAACAACTTGAGAAAGCTGTCTATACAATGTGTCTCCATTTCCTGTCCTCTCAGTCACTTCTAAACTCTGTAATCTGGCTTCCAGACTTCATCACTTAAGCCAAGCAGTTCCCTTCAATGGTATCAATGATCTGTTAATTGCTTAATTAAATCCAATGTCCTTTTACTTTTCTGCAATTTTTGACACTGTCAATGGATATCTCCTCCTGGTCACTCCTTCTTTACTAGGTTTTTGTGGCACTATTCCCTCCTGGTCTTCTGCTTCCTGGGGCTCTTTCTCACTCTCTTTTGTTGGATCTTCAACCAGGTTATACCTGCTAAGCATGTGTCCCTACAGCTTCTGTTCTGGGCCCTCTTTTCTTTACCCTCTGTTGAGGTAGATACGATGTTTGAGGCAGATGGGGCAGGTAGGATGCTGGAGGTGAGATACTTAAGACACTAAGTATCTGCCTAAGACACTTACTAGCTGTGAGACCCTTGGCAAGTCACTTGTTTGCCTCAGTTTCCTCATCTGTAAAATGAGCTAGCAGAGGAAATGACAAACCCATTCCAGTATCTTTGTCAAGAAAACCGCAAAGGGGGGGGCAGCTAGGTGGTGCAGTGGATAGAGCACCGGCCCTGGAGTAAGGAGTTCAAATCTGGCCTGACACATAATGCTTCCTAGCTGTGTGACTCTGGGCAAGTCACTTAACCCCAGCTGCCTCACTAAAAAAAAAAAAAAAAAAAAGAAAACCCCACATGGGGACACAAGTCAGAAACTGGCCTCTTACTAGCTTTCTAGTCTTCTCACATCTTACTACCCTCCAACTATTCTGCCATCCAATTATTTCTAAAAAATCTGAAATAGTTTTAGAAAAAAATTTCTTAGGTCAAGCTGGAAAGGTAATGCGACGCCCTCTCTCCCAAGGTCTGAAAGATTTACATTAAATAGGATTTAGACAAGGGAACCCAGTTAAGCATTTCTCAGAAAAAGCAACTGGAAAAATTGAGATGGCTATCAGTAAAGGTAATCATTCAATCAAATTGGGACTGAAACCAAAACACAAGGTGAATCCAAAACAACAGCTACAGTGGACCTACACAAAACAAGACCTGAGTGTGGTAACCCAAACAATGACACTGGCCTCCGAGCTATTCATCTCCCAATTTCAATGGCTGTTCTCCAGGCCTACAATCAATGCTTTCTAATTCACGTCGATGTCCTGGCTTCCTTCAAGCCTTAGCTAAAGTTCTACCTCGTACAAGAAGGGATTTCCAATCTTACTTAATTTTTGTGCCTTCCCTCTGAGATTACTCCCGATTTATCTTCTATCATAGTTGTTTTCAATTGTTTCCATGCTGCCTCCTCCACAGGCAGTGAACAGTCCGAGGGCAGGGAAGGTTTTTGTTTGCGTTTTTTGTATCCCCCACGGGCGGTAAACTCTCAGCTTGTACATAGACTGATCCACTCATCTTCCATTTGTGAACCCTCCTGCTGCCAAGACAACCCTTTCCAAATTACCTAATGTTTTTCTGTACAGATTTTGCTTTTACGTTTCTATTTACTGTCTCTCCCCCACTTCCCTTCCTAGAATGGAAGCTCCCAAAAAGCAGAGACTGTTTCAAGCGACCAGCACACTGCCGCAACCTAACAACCACTCGTGGATGGAGTGACTCCTTTCTTCACCAAGCGCCTTCCGGCCCCGCCCCGTGACTCAACACAGCTTATCACACTTCCGCGTGACTTGGGCGGAGCTGAGCTACCCTCGCCCAGTCACCTGAGCCATCGCAGACGCCGGGGACGTGGACTTCTAGAAGTTACCCGGACGCTCGGGAGAAGAGGAGGGGTAGGAGGAGGCCTTACGTTTTGATTGGCCAGTTGACCGGTGACGCAATCGGAGCGCGCTGAACCGTGACTTGGCAAGTTTCCCCAGATGACTATGAGCCAGCCGATAAATAGCCGGACCGGGAAGCTGGGAGTTGTTTTGTAGCGGGATCTGTATTGCTTGTACAGGTGAGTGGGCTCTTCTCTCCGAAGTCCTTGGGGATTCTTCGAAATTGCGTTTGTACTTTCACTGCAGTTCCAGTTGGGGTTTTCCTGGCTTCACTCCCCGGCTGCCGCCTCGCTCCCTTGTACGAAGCGAAACATCTTTGGCAGGAACGAAAGACGAGAGGAGGGGAAGGCTGGGAGCCCAGCAGAGCCGCTTGTTCTGATGGGTTTGGGGGTGTGGGGGGTGCTGTCTTACTGCTGCCGCCGCTGTCGTCCACTTTCAAGGTAGCCGGGATGTAAGGGCAAGCACGCCGGGATTGCCTCTGTGTCATTTGTCGTGTAATCTTAGGCAAGTCACTTATCCTCTCCGAGTTTAGTTTCCTTTCCTGTAAAGGACAGTCGTCACTGCTTCTCGCGTAGCAGGCTGTTGTGAGGATCAGATGATAGTATTACCTAGCCGGGGAAGTACTCAGCCTAGTGTAGAGGTTAACCTCTTCCCGAGTGCGCGGCCAGGACGACTGTAATAACCTTTGTGCCGTATCTCAGCAGGCAAAAGTCTGGATGTTCACGTTACTGAAGGACAAAATGTGGCATAGTTTATTGTTTTGGTTTGACTTAACCTATATCATATAGGACTTACAAAGCACTTTGTTTTTGAAGTACTTATTCATTCTTATGTGATCCTCACAACAGCCCTGGGAGGTGAGTGCTATTGTCCCCATTTGTACAGATGAGGAAACTGAGGCACATAGGTCAAGTGACTGATTTGTCCCAGGTTTCACAGCTAGGGCATGCCTGAAGCTGGATTTGAACTCTGTTCCTCCACCCAGGTCCAGTGCGCCACCTAGCTGCGTACATACAGTATGTATGTACAGAAGTATGTATAGACACATACTTATCTCCATTCTTTCAGAGGAACTTGATAATGAATGATACAACTGTTGGTTCCTTTGCCCAGCCGGATTCAGTAAAATTTGAAGCCCTGGAGTTGAAATGAGCGGCAGGGGATCTGATGACTCCTCCTAGCTAATGCAGTTGACTGCTGTGGGTTGCCACTGTCACTAGTGTAAACAGAAGTTGGTATGATCACCCTAAAACCGTCAGCATTAGATGTTTCCCACTGCTTTCACTAAGATTGGATCCCCACCTATCCATCTGCCAGTTGGGGGCATTTGTGAAGGCTGACTGGGAATTTGTAAATCTTGATTATCCCTGTGGTGAGGTCACTGTTTCTCATCTAACATTTTTTTCCTACAGGTCATCTGCAGCAACATTGCAACTGGTTTTTGTGTCGCTAGCACTTTTTCTTTCTACGATGGAATTTCCAGATTTGGGAGAGCATTGTTCTGAAAAAACTTGCAAGCAGCTGGGTGAGCTTTGTTAATAGAATGCTAACTGAAAATGGCTAGTTTGGGTGCTTTCTTTATGGTAAATGAGAAATTGTATAGATTAACTAGCCTAATACTGAGTTGTCAATTTTTTTTAAATGAAATGTGCAGACACACGAACTTATTAGTTAATCACTAGCCTAATTTGTTTTTAATCCACATTTTTAGTACTACAAGATAGTATCTTATGGAATTGTAACTAGATTTCAAGAATAGTAGTTAGCTTTGTGAAAAACTGATTCATGTTCTGAGTTATGAACTTTTTCTAAAATTCTTACAAAATTTATGTTTGTGTAATCTAATAGTTAATGACAGAATATTAAAGTCCAAAATATAATGCAGGTAAAATTATTGTTGTATCATGCAGCTGTGTTTTTGCTTTAGTTCTCAAAATATTTTCATGTCTTCTTAGATTTTCTTCCATTAAACTGTGATGCATGTGACAAAGTCTTTTGTAAAGATCACGCTCAGTATGAGCGGCATAAATGTGGTGCCGCATATAAAAAGGTAATTCAGATTTCTCTGTTTTTAGAAATTCCAAGCATATAAACATTAGGATTAATTTTTGACACATTTTAATAGAATAAAAATAGTGGTTCCATTTATTATAAAAATAGTTGATTTGAAATATGTGGTGAAAAGTAAGTCAGAAATGAAGAGGAGATTTATATATCAGATGGGAAGTTAGACTAGACTACCCCTCAAGTTCATTTCACCTCTAAAATTCTGAATTTTACAAGAGATCTTACAGTTTTTGCTATATGTTAGAACAAGGTAACTATATATATAATAGATTTCATTGTACAAAGCAGACTATTTAGCTATATATTCTATACCTATAATAAGGCAGCTTACAAAACTCTTTCCACAGAGCTGTGAGGCTGGTAAAATAAACATCATTCCCATCTTGTACATAAGGAGAATGATCTCAGACTAGACTATGATCATATTGCTTTACTGGTCCCAAATCCTGCACACTTGCTGCTGTGCCATACTCCTTAGGGCTGATAGATCTTTAGGAGTTGGAGCCTAATTCATAAGTGCACATGAATATTACCACTAAGGATTGTTGAGCAGTTTGAAATTTTATTGAAATATTTGCCACCTTAGACCACTAACTGGCCTTTTTTCCCCAGCATTTCCAAAGTGATCATACAGGTTTTGTTCATTACCTTACAATATATTAGCTATGCAACTTTAATGTAATTATACAAACTGGAAGCAGAATCAGGACAAGTTCAGATTTTTATCCTTTGTCCAGCCATATTTTTCTTTAGAAGTTTTGGTTTGTCTGTCAACCTCTTACATTCTTTGTTTTTAGGATATGCAGGTCCCAGTGTGTCCACTTTGTCATGTCCCTGTTCCAGTAGGAAGGGGAGAAATTGCAGATGTTGTGGTTGGGCAACATATGGATAAAGACTGTAAATATAATCCAGCTCAGGAGAAAAAGGTAAGTAGAATTTTTCCAACAGCTGGATAAGTTGGCTAGGGAAAAATACTCAGTATCTTATTGCCTCAATTCTGTCCTTAGAGATTTTCTTTTGCATTCATCTTTTACCTCTGAGGATAACTTAAAGTTAGGAATGAATAGTCACATTTCAACTTCTGGTTTCTTTTTGGGTTTTGAGAGTATTTAATGACCTAGAATTACTGTTTTCATAGTTGCTTGCTAGCACTAAGAAAACCTTTTTTATGCAAACAATATCAGGCTAGTAAATGGGTTTGTTCTGGAGGTACAAGCCTTCTGTAACCAAAATGCGACTGAAGAGCCTTTTATTGATTATTGAAATTGTGGTATATTCCTCTCAGCCTACATTTTGACAATTTATTGTTCTCTAGAACACCTCCAGTTTTGCTACTTACACTAGCTTTGAGGTTTGGTGGCAAATGAGGTTAAATTGATTGTTGCAGGCATAATTAGTTTCCAATTTGGGTACTTAATTGTGGATTTTAATTATCTCATTCCTGTTACAGTAGAGTATTATATGTGTAGTTTAAAACAGATGTCTTGGTGCTTGTTAGATCTCCTAATTTAGTCAATCTGTTGTTGCTAGTGACTCAATTTTCATTCTTTTGGCTGCTTTTAGATTTTCATACACCGCTGCTCAAAGGAGGGATGCAAAAAGAAAGAACTGTTCAAGCTGCTTTGTGACCAGTGTAATGACAACTTCTGTATTAAGCACAGACATCCTTTGGATCATAACTGCAAACACAGTGGTCATTCCATCTCCAAAGCAGGGTAAAAATCTGGTTTTAGCTATTCCAGACTAATAAAACAGGCTATTAACAATAAGCAACTCAAAACATTAACCTGAGATACACTTATGCCTTAAATGGCCAACTACTGATAGTCCAGAACCAGTAAAACTAAAATCACTGTATTAGTTTTACCATGTAGTAGCTATAGTGATTTGGAGAGCAGTATATAAAGTGTCTGGCATAGTGGATATAGAGAATTGGCCTTGGACTCAGAAGACCTAGCAGCTGTGTGAGCCTGGGCAAGCACTTAACCTCTCTGACAACAGGCAGTTTAAAAATTAGCCTCTGAAGACTAATTCATAAATTATAAAATTCATAAAAATTTTGTTGACAACCATGAGCAGTCTGAAATTTTATTGAAATATTTGCCTCCTTAGGCTAATAATTACTTGCCCTTTTTGTTCAGCATTTCCAAAGTGATTCATAGTTTTTTATGGGCTTTATCACATTAACTATGCAACTTTTCTATGGCTAGATACAAATTAGAGGCAGGATCAAGACAACTGACAAGTTCTCATTTTTGTCCTCTGTTGAGTCTTTCCTCTTTCAAAATTCTGGATTGTCTGTCATTAGCTATTTTTAGGATGTACAGGTCCCAGTGTGCTCACTTTGTTAAATCCTAATCATGAAAGTACCCCATGGCATCTTTCCAACTCTCTAAGACTAATTTGCAGAATAGTTGGGTGAAGAATTTTTGAGTTTCTTCCCTGGGAGTTTGCTGCACAAATGAAATGGTGCATCTAGGCCAGCTTTTCCTGGACACTGCACAGCTGCATTCACAAAATAGCACTGCTGACCCTGGCTAGAAGGAAAATAGTTAATAAGTATGTGTTAAGAACATACTATGTGCTAGGCACTGAGGATTCAAATGCAAAAGTCCCTGCTCTTAAGGAGCTCGCATTCTAAAGATAGAGACGACCTGTATATACAGGTATATACAAAACAGATCCAAGATGACCTTGATGGATCATGCCATCTACCTTATGCCAAGGTGGATCTCTAGCTGAGTCTTGAAGGAAAGGTGAGAGAGGTCCATACATAGCTAGTGCAAAGTATGGGAGATGACCAGCAAGGCAGCCAGTTTGGCTGGCCTCTAGTTTGCAGGAAAGGAGATAGCACATAATAAGCCTAGAAATAGAAGATGGTGCTAGATTGCGAAGAACTTTAAATGCTAAAATTGGGAGGTGGAGAGGGCATATTTGATCCTAGAGGTATTAGGGAGCCCACTGGAATTTGAGTAGGGGTGACATGGCCAGGCCTTTGTTTTATGAAAATAGTTTTGGGGCAGCCAGGTGGCACAGTGGATAGAGCTCCAGCTTTTGAGTCAGGAGGACCTAAGCTCAAATCCGGCCACAGACACATAACACTCACTAGCTGTGTGACCTTGGGCAAGTCACTTAACTCTGATTACCTCACCAAAAAGCAAAAGAAAAAAATAATTTTGGCTCTGGAAGGTGGACTGAAATCTGGAGACATAAGTCTAGGACAGTGGTGAAAAGAACCCTGAGTAAGTCTGGTGGTGTGAGGGAAAGAGAAGAGGGTTTGGCTAACACATTCTTTGTTCCTATAGGTGATGTAACTTTATACACTGTGAGTAGAACTTAGGCTTGTGGATATTTGACTGCATAGGATTGAGAGCTTAGAACTACCAGTTCATCTCCTCCCTGTGTCTTACTCTAATTTTGTGCTGTAGAGATTTCATATACCTGAAATAAGTACAGTGTTAGATGCTGCAGCTAGATAATTGAATAAGCTTTATTAGATTCACAAATGAATAGGTTTCATGATTGTTAACCTTTCCTCATAGGTGTGCAGCTATAATGAGAGCTGCTGAATCATCTGGAGCTTCAAACAAATTATCTTCCAGTTGGCTAGCTCAGCGATTAAGGTATTAGTTATATTTAAAATTACACATTGTCTTGGAGTTAACATTCTGAATAAAAAGTAACTAGCAGTGGTTCTCTGCTGCTTTATTGAAAAATTCTTAACACATTTGTAATGCAATTAATAGTATACATCTTAAATTACATGCCCCAGTTGACTACAACTTAAAGAATTGTCTAACTTTGTTCTTGTATTAGTTAACCTTTCAGTTCTTTTGAACTCCACATTATAAATGCTGTTCTAATCGCTAATACAGCACAAGACTTAATTGAGCAGTAAAAGTTTTAAGTATAAATTCTGGATGCGTTTCTTATTTGGCCTTTACAGATACTTTGTGTGACTGAGCCCTTCCCACTTCCAGATGAAATCTCGATATAAATCTGTAATTTCTTAATTTCTTTTTGTTCTTTTTTTCAGAGGGAAGCAAAAGAGTTGATCATTTGACATTCCTGGTCTCTAACCTGGCAACAAATGATTCTGTGCATTTTAATATCATTGTGGGCTTTTCCACAAAACCTAAGTTATTTATTACCTTTTGTTAGCTTTAATCTGAAAATATTGTCTTACATTTCTCAGGGATAATTGTAAAACTTCATTAATTTTGTTTCAAATAGGTGTTGGACATGTGATTAGCTTTATCAGCTCCATTTAATTAGAAACAAAAGTGGTGCCTTTAAGTTAGAACTTTGTACATTTACACCTACTTTATATGTTTTAATTGTAACTTTAATTTATAACTTGTTTTCAGTACATTTTGATTATGGTGAATTGTTTCTGGTGCCTTTATGTCTGTTCTTGAACTGAGGTACTAAGAACTCTTGTACAATTACATGTTTTTAAATAAACTGACCAAATTTTGGTGGGCTTCTGTTCCTATTCACTGAGGAAAGATTTGCTCATTAACACACAGAAAGTATATCTTTCTGCTTTTGTTTTTCTAAAACTTGACTTAGAAATGCTTTTTTTTTTCTTTAAACAATTTAGTAATGACATTTTTGACAGACTAGACATGGAGTCATTCCTTAAGATAAATAAACCAAAAAATATTTAAGGTGTTAGTGTACGTAAATTTTTTTTTTGGACAGGGCACAGAAGGCATTTGAAAGCAGTGAATACAATACAGAAAGAAACAGAGGAACTTTAACCTCCTTCACAGAAATTCCTCTTTTTGAAACTAAGATACTTGGGGCCTTTAAATAGTCAGTGTAGATAAATGTTGAAGAATGTTGCTATGAACTCAAGGGTGATGCTATAATGCAAGAATATTAGTGATAGTCATCTTCTGGGCTGATGCCAAAGTGTTTTTGTTTTGTTAAATAGACAGTGAAATCTCATGTCAATTTTTATTACAGGTAATCTACAGGTAGATATTAATTAAGCTATAAAAGTTTATAGGCATACTTTACAGAGCACTGCAAATTGATTTATTGAGAGTTGTGGAATGGTTCCAAAAATCACTAAAGCCTGTGAATGCGATCATTATTCTCTACTGAGTGGAAGATAATCTTATGTATGATCAGCTATTGTATTCTGAGATGTAATCTTTACCACAAGCTGAGAATATCCTTGTCTGAAGGTTCAGCTGACAACCATGCTGTTGATACTGTAAAGATAATTATAACTGTATGAAATTATATCTTCCCACATCTTTTTTTTTCTTCTGGAGTTCTACAACTTCCTGCTTTGTATTTTGTTTAATATGATTTATGCCTTGACCAGGTTCCCCTCTACCCATCCCCAATCAAGCTATTTTTGCATACAATTTTCAGTCTATTATTAGTGCCCACTGAGTGTTAAATGGTAACTATGCCACATCTTTTTTTTTTTTTTTGCCAATTGGGGTTTTAAGCGACTTTCCCAGGGTCACACAGTTAGTAAGTGTCAAGTGTTTGGTCTGAGGCTGGATTTGAACTGGGTCCTCCTGACTTCAGGGCCGATGCTCTATTCACTGTGCCACCTAGCTGCCCCTATGCCACATCTTTAAAGGGCCATGTTTATTTTGCAATGAGTAACTGTGATATAAGGAATGCTTTTTTTCCCCAAGTGAACTGCTTATAAAATGAGAAGGTGTACCTATAGAAAAGCTTCCTGTGAATCAGAGGGATGTTTTAGATGATTCTTATCTTCCACTGAAGAGATGTGTGTAATTTTAACTTTTACTGGGACAAATGAGGGATCAGAGATTTAGGCACATTTCTGGGTTTTGGTCTGTCTCGACCTGTGATTTCGTCAGTATAGGGAAGGGAACTGCCACTGAGAAAGCTTGTCTGTATCTGCCACTGCTGAATTTAACTTTTGCAGATTTTAGTTCCTTGGGACACCGAGGTATCAGAAATAGGCCTTGATTTTCACTGCTACTTTTTTACATTTACTATCGATTCTAAATAAAAACCTTGTTTCCTAAGGTGCTCAATTCAGGAAAATCTCCCCCTTTCCCCCAATATATTCTACACTAGCCTCAAACCCTGTCTTTTTTTCTTTTTTCTTTTAGGCAATTGGGGGTTAAGTGACTTGCCCCAGGGTCACACAGTTGTAAGTGTCTGAGGCCATATTTGAACTCAGTAGGGTGAGTCTTCCTGAATCCAGGCCTAGTGCTCTGTGCACTAGGTGAAATGAACTGGTATGCCACCTTGAGAAAGAGTTGGGGACCTGAAACAGGAGGCGGACTGCATGCAATTCACATCGTGTCATATAGTGTGACTCTTAGCCAAAATAACTGTACCTGTGTTGCCTCATTAACAGGAACAATGACTTGCTGGGTTTGGGATGAAACCGTTTTATTCCCTTTCTACTGTACATATTCTCAAAATAGCAGTAAAAATGAGTTTTGAACCAGCATTTTAAGAACTTTTTTTAAAAAATGGCTTTTCCCTTTAAAATACTGTTGGTCACAAGTGTAATAGAAATGCAAGTGGTAAAGGTATCAGCTCTGCCACTGAATTAAGGAGGTGACTTAATGATTCTAGGTCTATTTTATTTAAAACATAGGTGCTGAACTGGAAATCTTTAAGATAACTTAAAATATCTCTACTATAAACATAAGTTGTTTTTATCCTTTGAATGTCTATCAAATTGGTCTTTTTATAATTGACTGTCCAAATGAATATATCCCAATTACAGATGTGAAACCAGTGTTGTCCACAAGGTGTCAGGTTTTGATACACAGGCATACTTTGAGAGGTGTTGATAATTAGGATTTTATTTACTTACAATACTATTTACTCAACAGCATAAAACTTGGGCAAAATTATTAGGCCACACAATTTTTAAAAATATTGGCACAAAATCGAGGTAAAGTGTAGCAGGCTTAAAATTCATAAAGGTTGAAGGTTGTATGGGGAGAGAGAAGGATGATGGTAGGGGACTACTTATGAAACTTTAGTTTTTCCACTTTGTATTTGGAATGTGTGCACCTTTAAAAATGTTAATTCCTTAGCAGAACATGCAAGGTCTGTGAGGTAAGCCATTTTCCTTTTAAAATTAGTGCTTTCTTTTCCTTTAAATATATTTTCCTTAAATAGATTAAAAAGTTAGTTTTTTTGAGGTTTCAAAAAGTATGTGTCAGTACACAACAGTATTTAAGAAATTAGTGGTAATTCCTTAAAGCCTTTCCCCAAAGTAAGTGAGCTGAGTTGATAAGACTAGAACAGAGATTCTGAAACTTTTTGGTCTTAGGACTCCTTTATACTTGAACAAAATTACTGAAGATCCTTGTCCCTTTTTGACAAAAAGAGCTTTTGTTTGTGAGGGTAATATGTCATGTCCCAAATTTAATGAAAGTTAGAAATTAAAGCATCTTAGTATCATTATGAAAATTTGACCCCATGGTCCCAAGACTATACTTTGAGGATCATTAGACTAGATGATTCCTAAGGCTAATTCCAGCTTAAAATCTATGATCCTATGAACTAATTGCTTTTGGAGAGTTCTGAAATTTGTTTCTGTCAAATTACAAATTCCATGGCCCAAGAAATAAAGATCTATCACTGGTAGATTCACACTCATATGTGGATAGACCTTAAGCATAAGAATCTAGTCAGGAGCTGAGTTGCATATTTGGAAAGCAGAAGAATCTAGCTTTTTCATCAGTGAACAAGTCACTAATGTGAGAACTAATTAGTAGAGTTGATCATGTTTTGACTTGAGATACAATTCATTAGGCTTGACAGCTAAATCTTAAATAAGAAATTTTATTGAGTAGCTACTATGTGCATGGTAACAGTAAGGAAAGGAAAAGTCCTGTCCATAAAGTATAGAGTAATTTTGCCCATTAAATTTCTTGATATGGGGCGCCATGAACAAAATCAGTCATTGAGACAGTGTGTCATGTCCCAAATTTAATGAACAACAATTTGAAAATAAATGTATAATACCAAAGAAAATAGAGGACATTATAAAATGCAAAATGGGTAATTTTGATTATGTAAAATTAAGTTTTTGCACAACAAAATCAATGCAACCAAAATTAGAAGGAAAGCAGAAAACTGGGAAATTTTTGCAACAAGTATTTCTGATAAAGACCTCATGTCTCAAATACATAACTGAGTCAAATTTATAAAAATACAAGTCATTCTCCAATTAATAAATGGTCAAAGAATATGAACAGGCAGTTTTCAGACAAATCAAAGCGAGCTATAGTCATGAAAAAATGCTCTAAATCACCACTGAAATGAATATTTCAACTCTTGAGGCACCACCTTGCACCTGTCAGATTGGCTAATATTATAAAAAAAGGGAAATTATGGATGTTGGAGGGGATATGGGAAAACTGGGACACTAATAGGGTTGATGATAGGGCTGTGAACTGATGTGACCATTGTGCAGAGCAATTTGGATCTCTGCCCAAAGAGCTATAAAACTGCATACCTTTTGATCCAACAATACCACTGCTAGGTCTATATCCCAAGGACATAAAAAAGGGAGAAGGACCTATTTGTACAAAATTATTTACAGCAGCTTTTGTGGTAGCAAAGAATTTGGAAATGCTCATCAACTGTGAAAGGCTAAACAAGTGGTATATGACTGATGGAATATTACTGTGCTTTAAGAGATGACAAGCAGTATGATTTCAGAAAAACAGATTTACACGAACTGATAGTGAAATGAACTGAACGAGGAGAATGCTGTACAATAACAGCAATGCTGCACAATGTAGAATGATGAATGACTTAGCTATTTTCAGCAATACAATAATCCAAGTCTATCCCAAAGGACTAATGATGAAGCATGCTATCCACCTCCAGAGAAAGAGCTGATATTGTTTGAATACAGACTGAAGCATGCTATTTTTCTTTCACTCCTTTTTTTAATCTGTACAAAGTGACTAATATGGAAATGTTTTACATGATTGCACATGTATAACCTCTGACTGTTTACCCTCTCATGGAGGGGGGAAGGAGGGATAAAATTTGGAATGAAAAACTTTTAAAAATGTTAAGAAATTGTTTTCACATGTAATTGGGAAGAAATATTAATAATAAAAAATAAGTATGTGATGTTATAATTGTGTTGAATAGACAGAAAGGGGAGATAATGTGAGCTAGGTCATGCAGTGAACAGTGTTCACCCTGGAATCAAATCTCAAAATCAAATCCAATCTCTGACACTAGCTGTTTGACCCTGGGCGAGTCAATTAACTTTTTCTCAGTTTCCTCATCTGTAAAATGAGGGCAATAATAACCTACTTCCCAGGGTTATTGGGAGGACCAAATGAGATAACTGTAAAGTGTGTAGCCTGGGGCCTGGCACATATAAATGCTAACTATTGTTATTGTTATAATCCTCAAGGCAGGTTTCATAGACATGGTAGGTCTTTAATGGGACCTGAAATTTCCCTCAATGTCTAAGGACTTCTCATGGTGAAATATCATCCTCCTGGGCTCCTTTCATTGATGAGTTTGTCGGGTAAGGGCAGTGGTCCCAGCCAGAAAACCTTCCTTTCCCTACTAGCAATGCTTCTGATTCTCCAGACTTAAGCAAGCCACTTCTCCTTTGCCCCCTCCTACTTAGCTCACTTTTGGGTAGTCTTCCCCCATTAGAATATAAATTCCTTGAGGCCAGGGACTTTTTTTTCAACTTGTATTTTATAACCCTAGTACTCAGCTAAGTGCCTAATACCTAGTAAGCATTTTATAAATGCTTTGTGCACTGCTTTATTAGAAATAAAGTAGGCAAGGAACTCTTTATAGTTAATTTTTTTTTATTGTTAAACCTGGAATTTCTAGAAAAGATGATGTTGTGGATATCCCAGCCTCAGCCACAAGACGGTCCAGGGGGTAACTGCCACTTTACTAGATGTTAGACCAGAGGCAAGTCACAGGAAGATTGTTTGATCGAGGGGCTGCTGATCAGCATTGACAAAGGGAGAATCCATCTTAGGAGTTACCCACTTTTGAGGATTTGTTTTGGGTCAGGGAGGAGGAAGCTAGCTCTAAACTTCTGATGGTTAAACTTTCAATGTGAGCATTCACACTGCCTAAATCTGAACTCAGTATAAATCTGTTTGTTTATGTTTGTGGTATTAGTTGATTGTTGATCTGTTGTTTGTGTAGGCATAATTGTTAAACACATTAAACGTTAAGGTGTGTGTATGTACGTATATTACTCCCCACCTCCCAAATCAAAGTTGTTAAACATTTTTACCAGCACACCCCTGTGCTGCTCTATGAAAATTGCTTGAGTCAGCAGTAGGGCAATAAAAGGCTTAGGAAAATAAGTGTCATTACTAGGCTGTGCTGTAATTATATTAATAAGACTGGCACAGTAACATCAATAGTAATAATATTTAATAAAGTTATTTAATAACACCATTAATATTTGTTCATACTATTAACAATAAATATTGATAAATGGGGCAGCTAGGTGGCACAATACTGTGCCCTTCTGGAGTCACGAAGACTCTTCTTCCAGAGTTCAAATCTGGCCTCACACGCTCACTAGCTGTGGGACCTTGGGGCGAGTCATTTAACCCTGTTCGCCTCTGTTTCCTCTTCCATAAGATGAGCTGGAGAAGGCAATGGCAAATCACTCCAGTATCTTTACCAAGAAAATCCCAAATGGGGTCACAAAGAGTAGGGCACGACTGAACGACAAATGATATTAATGGAATATAACACGGATTATTATAATAATTAAGTGGCATTTCTCTTAAGATTTCATGTTTGCCATATGCTGTCTTGCTTCCATCATCTCACTGGAGCCTCACAGGCTGTCCAGAGAGACACTGCAGCTCCTCGGACCCCGCCTCCTCCTACACGAGGCCTCCAGGGCGAAGTTGGTCCCCTCCTTTCGGGACCGCGCCCTTCGCTGCGGGCAGGAGAACAGGAGGGGCCCGCCGGCCTTACCCACCCAAAGGACTCAGGCCCGAGGCATCAGCCTTTCCTGGTGTTCCTGACCGCTCAGGCCGGGCCGAAGAAGGACAGCTGCGGCCTCTGAGTTTGGGAAGACAGAAAGCAAAAAACAAGCAAACAGACAAGTCAAGCTTCCTACCTTCCCGAGCAGAGCAAGCGCGACCCTGACAGGATTCCACAGACGACCTAGGAACTGGTCCACAGGAGTGACCTGCGGCGCTAGCAACCAACGGTTTTCTTAGCAACGGCCGGCGCCTAGAGATGACGTCACCCGCGCAGCACCTCCTCCAGTTGCGACAAGGAAGAGGGCGGGGAAGGGGCGGGATTAAGTGACTTCGTCTTGGATCTGCGGCTTGCTATTGGATGTAGAGTAAATGGTCCTAGGCCTCCTCCAATGGGAATGGGTCAGCTTCTTGAGGGGCGGGATCTAAGGGGGTGGGGGCGAGCGGTCCCCTGTTAAGGTAATTTCCCAGGACAGAGGTTGCAAGTTCCTGAGGTTGAACGTCCCACGTGCAGGTGAGGTGATAGGTGGCGGGACCGAGTGTTGGCCGCAAGCTGTGGTCCCGGGTGGCTTCAGAGGCTGGGGGCCTGGGGCAGGAGAAGGGGAAGTCCGATGTGAGGGGCTGGGAGTCGCCCACGTGGGTGTTTGAGGGGTGCTCGTGAAGTGTGGAGGGGAGGGGACCGGGAGAGACCCCCGGGCTGTGCCACAGGGGCAAGGGCTTCGGTTTGTGGCTTTGTGGTGTCGTTCAGGGTGATGCACCAAGTATTCATTGGTGCGTACTGTGTGCACACTACAGCTTTCTCACTTGTAAAAGTAGCTTTGCAGAGCCACTGCGCTTCAGAAGCATAGTTTGAAAAAGCACGGATCCGGGGTTCCCTTTTGTTGTGAGAGTGGTCTTAGTACTCGAACATGCTATCGATGATTATAATAGTACCTTTTTAATTCAGCGAGTCTTGAGCTCATGTTATGTGACAGGCACTATAAGACATTACTGACTTCAAATAACTCCTTTTCAAATAACTTCAGATCATCCTGAAGATGTAAGTGCTGCAGATGTTTAAGATGCAGCCAGGCACCATCATCCTTTGCGAGTAGCCTTTCCTGATCCCCTCTAACTGCTAGTCTCCTCCTTCCCAAATTATCTTGTATTTACTTTATATTTGTATGTGTGTGTGTGTGTGTGTATACACACATATACACATACATACATATACATACATATGTTTATGCTGTGTATATTTTTATACGCACTTGTTTTCCCCCATTAGAAGGTAAGCGTCTTTCATTTTTTGTACTTGTAGCCTTGGTGACTAGCACAGTATCTGACACATGATAGATACTACATGTATGTATGAATATGTGTACATATGTATATTTGTTGTCTGGTTGATGTAACACCCTTTTTACATTTCATACATGTTATGTATCATCATATTTGTGTGCTGTATGTCTTATTATGTGCCAGGCATTGTACTATATATTGTACTGTACATACACTCTCTCTCTCCATATATATATATATTGCAAGTGTAGTATGGTACCATATATATGAGAAAGAAAGGTGGGGAGGAGAGAGAGAATGAGAACATTACAATAGATAGTACAATGCCTGACACGTAATAGACTTAAATATACTTGATGAGTGATTGATACAATACCCTTTGTACACTTCATATATATGTGTATATATATATATATGTGTATATATATATGTGTATATATATATATATATATATGTATATATATATATATATATATATATATATATATGTATATACACACACACACACACACATTATATATAGTGCAGTGCTTGGCACTTGTTCAGTTGTGTCTGACTCTGTGTGACCCCAGGGGTTCTTGGCAAAGATACTGGAGCGGTTTGCTATTTCCTTCTTCACCTTACTTTACAGATGAGGAAACTGAGGCCAACAGGGTTAAATGACTTGGCCAAGGTGAAAAAGCTAGTAAGTATCCAAGACCAGATTTGAACTCAGGAAGATGAGTCTTCCTGACTCCAACCCCAGCACTCTATCCGCATAATAGGCTCAGTATTGACTTTGTTGACTGATTGCTATAATACCCTTTTTAATTGGAAGCAGTCACGAGTGCTTAAAAAACTCTGGATATCTTTTTGGTGTCTCTATGGTTTGAGCTGGGGGTATGGGTAGTAATGATTTTCTTCTTGGATGTCGGAAGAGGAGGAAATATATAGAAATAGTTGGACTTCTCAACAAAATTGGTGCCAGAAACTGTCATAAAACCAACTTTTAGATCTATGTGAGGAGAGAGGTAATTCCCCCCCTTCCCCCCTCCATTGTATTTATGCACTTTTTTGTGTTTAACATATTTGATATGGGGAGGAGTGTGAGGGATAGTTTAGCTGCATAGACCCAGTGGGTCTGAAACATGCTCAGAATTGTAAAAGGCAGCAGAAGAATAAGGGGAAATTCAGTCCTAGGGGTAACTAGCTGTATTTTCCTGGCAGCACTCCCTCCTCACCCTGCCACCCTTCATTTTTAGAATTCCCCCTGCCTTAGGAACCTAAGAGGAGTGGAACTTACTGATATCATCTCTCATCATTATTAAGACAATTGTATATTGATTTTGGTAAGTTTTAAGGGCACTCCTTTTCTCATTTGGAGTGCCTTGGTATGGAAGGAGACAGCCCCAAGAGAAGAGAGCTAGAGTTTCTCCTCATATAAGTGGCAATGATTATAAAACCCTTTTGATCTTTAGACCATCTTGGGGTCAGAAACTCTTTAGAGATCTCACTGTAGTCTACCTATTCCCATAGCCACTGGAAATAAAAAACAAACATCAATAATAACTAAATAAAGGAAACAAAGGACATATGTATAGCTAAGCAGTGAATGGAGAGAGCTGTCAGGAAGTGGAGTTAGGAAAAGCTGGGTTCAAATTCCACCTCAAATATTTACTTGTTTCATGGCCATGAGCAAGTCACTTAACTTGTATGGGCCTTAGTTTTCTCATCTGTAAAGTGGGGATAATAGCACTTGCTTTCCAAAGTTGCTGTGAAAATAAAATGAGATACTGTTTTTAAAGGACTTTGCAACCCTTAAAGAGCTAAATAAGTGCTAGTTATTATGGTTATTATCACCTGTGGTTATTCTTATCTATTAACCAGTGACTTAGAGCTGATTTTCATATGCTTGCTCTAAATTAGTAATTCTGAGCCAGCAAGTTTTAAAAACCTCAATTCTGTTATTTATTGTTGTCTTTTGATTTTATATTACATTCATTTCTGAATTTATCCCTTTTTACTCCCCCATCCCACTCATTGAGACTTCTCTTGTAACAAGCTTTAAAAAAAACATTCAGCAAAATTGCCAACACTTCAAGTCTGATGATATATGCAATAATCTACACCTTTAATCCTCTACTTCTGCAGTGGAGGGAAGGGGTACATTCACGTCACATAAATCTGATTATGTTTCTTCTAATTCTTCATATTTGCCATTCCTTACAGCTCAGTAATGTCTCATTACATTTGTTTAACCATTCTCCAATTTATGCGTACATGCTTTTTTCCCCTCGCATCTTTGATACCACAAAAAGTACTGCTCCTAATATTTCTGTGTATATGAGACCCTTCCGTGTTTGACCTCCTTGGGGCATATACCTAGCAGTGGGTCTAAGTATGGATATTTTGGTCATTTTCTTTAAAAAGAACAATTGCTTTACAGAATGTTTGGATCAATTCAAACCTCTGCCAATGAAGTATAAATGTACTGGTGTTCCTGAAGTCTCTGACATTATTTCTACCTTGTGCCACCTTTACCAATTTGCTGGATATGGAATGAAACCTGAAAGTTGTTTAGTATTTCTCTTATTATTAGTGATCTGGGGCAACTTTTCATTTGGTTCTTAATAGTTTGAAATTCATTGAGCTCTTCATATGTTTTGACCACTTATCCATTGGGGAATGGCTCTTGGTCTCATATATTTGTGTTAATAACCTATATCTTTTTGACATTAAGGCATTATCTGAGATTTGTGACATGAAGACTTTTTTTCTCCCCAACAGTGACCGTTAACCCTAGTGGCACTAATTTTGTTCTTACAAAACTTTTGATTCCCTTAAACAAAATTATCTATTGGATTTTATGATTTCATCTGTTTCTTGTTTGGTTAAGAATTCTCCCCCCTGGCCATAGGTGTGAAAGTTTCTTCTACCCTCTTTACCTACTTTTTAAGGTGTAACCTTTTATATTTAAATCAAGAATACATTTGGAACTTACTGTGTTATATGGCCAGCATGAGTTTTTATAAAAATTCTCCCTCTTCCCCAGTCTTTAATTGTTAATTATTCTCATGAATCATTAATTATTCTTGCTATGAACTCTTGGAAAATTGCTGGCATGGATTGCATGTAGGTTCTTCAACCCTGGAATTTTCACTCTCCTTTTCACCTCCGTAGCCTCTTCTTATTGATTAGCACCTTTACGCCCATACCCTACTTTCCCTTATTTTACTAAACCTTGGCTTCCCCCCAAGGTTGTTGTTATTCAGTTGTGTTGACTTTTTTGTGACCCCATTTAGGGTTTTCTTGGCAAAGATACTGGAGTGGTTTGCCATTACCTTCTCCAGTGTGTTTTACAGATGAGGAAACTGAGGCAAGCAGGTTGAAGTGACTAGCCCAGGGTCATACAGCTAGTCAGTGTCTGAGGCTGGATTTGAACTCACAAGGATGAGTCTTCCTAACTCCAGGCCCAGAGCTCCATCCGCTTTGCCACCTAGCTGCCCAAGGTTACTTTGTGTTTATTTTCTATATACTTATATGTATGCATGTTTTTTACCCTTTTGCAGTATAAGATTCTTGAAGGCAGGAAGTATTCCATTTTTTGTTTTTGTATCCTCATCACCTGGCATAGTGCCTGACACATAGTAGGCATTGTTCGGGTTGGTTGGTTGGTGGTTTGAGGGTGTCATGCCGACCTTATTTCCCCCCCAGTTTTTTGGGGTTGTTTTTAGTGCTCGTTATCTCTTAAAATTACTTGGTGTTTACCTTACATAGAATTATCTAGGAACATGTTGATAAACAGTTTACCATATGAAAGAGCACTGTAGTAGATTCTAGGGGCATAGAAAGTTTGGATAATCAATTGTTTCTACCCTCCTGGTTATAATCTAGTTTGGGAAGTGATACATACACACATAACTATTACAGAATGGTTAATATTTTCTTCTTATCTCTAAGAAGGCAGCTAGGTGGTTCAGTGGTTAGAGCTCTGGGCCTGGAGTCAGGAAGACCTGAGTTCATATACACTTACTAGCTGTGGGACCCCTGGACAAGTAACTTAACCTCTGTTTGTCTTAATCCACTGGAGAAAGAAATGGCAAATCACTTCAGTTATCTTTGCCAAGAAAACCCCATGTATGGTATGGTCCATGGTGTCATGAAGAATTAAACACAACTAAATGATTAAACAGCAGCCTTCTTATCACCTTGTCTTGCCAGGGGCCCAGGGCTCCATACCACTTTTCCTCTGTC